CCTGCTCGCCTTACGCCCGAACGTGACACCTAACACATTACCCAGTCCATATCAGTATAGATAGACAGCATGATTTTTTTTCCCCCATTGAGATCTGATGTGTTTTCAAAGCGTTCCTTTAATTTTTTTGAGCAGTGTACAATATGGAACAAACCTCCAACTGGCACCGCGAATGAAGCGATCGTTATTCGGTTTCTTGGTACATCCTGTTTTATTTTTCAAATTCCAGAAAATTCTAACTCAAATGGAAGAATAGACTGACATTTAAGGCATGGCATATTCTCGCTACCTCTTTGTTTCCCTCTTTTATATTTAACAATTCCAAAGGTAAAGTCTAATGAAAAAAAACGGAATGTTTCCTCCTGACAGACCTAGCCGATCACTCTTTATGCAGGGATACGGATCGATATTTACAGGTTTTCTGCAGCGGCTTTCACCAGCTAAGTGCAAGTTCGACGTTCGAGTTTACTACTAAACAATAATCGGTTGCACCATGCAGATAGTTCCAACGTAAATTTTGCACCTCCTTATTATTAGCTGTAAGGTCCATCGTAACAAAAATAAAAACGTTTAAATGTTGTGAAAATCGCACACGTGAATAACCTAACAAAACTTTAAACTTTTTAACATGCAGTAGTATAACGTTATCAGAGATCATTTTTAAAACTTTACCGCCAATTAGTGATTAAAACAAGGTCACTGGCTTCATATGTCAATCTAGTCTAGTCAGCTAACATTAGCTGGTAAGCTAGAAAAACACATTGCCTTGCCAAGGTCCGACTGAACCTTGTTGATTGCATTGCTTGAGCTCGACTATCTCATGTAGCAGAATGACTGTCAAGCCTTTACAATAAATGTCTATCTAACTTTACACTACAATTTTGATAAACATACTACAAACATTTTGTGATTTCGAGAAAGCAACTTAGGCTGTGTTGAGATCATGTGAAAAATAAGTTGTGATACAAAGTTGCAGTGAAAAGATACAGACACAGCAGTGTGTGTTCTAAAGATGTACCTTCACTATTGTTACGACTGTCGCTGATTGACAGGCTGCCTGTCTCAGACTCAGGGGTCTCAAAGTCAAATAAGCCAGGGGGGCCAATGGCTACAAACTATGCAGCTCCAACAGGCAACTTGAGTGTTTTTTAAACACTATATGGATAATCAGTTAAAAAGCCGGTGTTAGAACACCTGGAAGCAATCTACACAGATATTGATTGATGCTTACGTGCCCAATGTAGGCTGTGTGTATGGTGGATTTTAAGCTAAAATGTAGCATTTTGGAGGTAGCCTGAGTCAATTTGGGAGTCATTTTGAGGTGAGTCATTATTCCCGCTGCACCACTAGCCAGGGCTAATGGTTCCCCCACCTGCTGAATCCCACTTTAACTCCTGATGAGATTAATAAACGATCTTGAATCTTGACCAAGACTGAACAATTGAAACAGGCAGATTACCATTACATAAAGGACCATAAAGGCCTTGTTTCTTCTGCAGTTATGATGTCAGTCAGAAGATACTTTGCATTTTCAGCTCATGCCACAGTGCTCTGGGAGGGTTTATATTCCAGGAGGTTTAACACTTCATGACTGACAGCTGCCATTCATCACAACAGACTCCAAACAAACATGACTTTGATCAGCTTCAGCATATTGCTCTTCATCCTCACTCACGGTAACACTTTGCTTGATGAATTTTTCTAAACTTTTAGACGTCTGAAGATTCATGCTATAGTAATATTGTTTGTTTTTATCTTGTATGTATTTTCAGAATCCAGAGGACAGGTGACTGTGACTCAGACTGCAGAGCTGATATCAGTTTCCTCAGGACAGACAGTCACTATAAACTGCAAAATCAGCAGGTCTGTGTATACTGATAGTAATGGTCACCACCTGGCCTGGCACCAGCAGAAACCTGGAGAAGCTCCTAAACTCCTGATCTATCGTGCAAGTTCCCGTAACTCTGGGATTCCGTCTCGATTTACTGGTAGCGGATCTAGTACTGACTTCACTCTGACCATCAGTGGAGTCCAGGTTGAAGATGCCGGAGATTATTACTGTCAGAGTAACCACTGGATCAGTAGTAAAGCTGTGTTCACACAGTGATATATAACCGTACAAAAACCTCCCTCAGTCAGACTGCACAGTGACTGCACTGCTGCAGCTGGGACTCACTGCAGGTGCTGAGGAGGAAATTTTAAGTCCCTCAGAGGAGATAAAACCAGTTCAACAGACTGAATGCACACAGGTATCTTGCATTTTGCTGTACGATTTCTGCTTATAATGTCACAAGCTCCAGTCTAGGTTTGGAGCCCAACAGAAAGGAAAGGGTTAGGGGAGGAAATGACAAACATGGAACGGAAATAGGGAACACAACAAACAAAGCGTTTTTTTTGTATTTTTTTAGACTTTATTCATACCACATGGACACTTCACAACACAGCAGGTGCAACAGGACTTCAGGAGTGACCCAGGCCAAAACAAGAAACAAAACAACTAATGAACAGGTCCCAAGACTAATCTAAACCTAATTGCAACAAAACAAATAGAAACAAAACAACAATACTAGAACCTATCTCCCTAACCAAACAAACCATAAACCAACACGTCTCACAGAACAAAAAAGGCAGTCACTCCTTACGCACCAAGTTACAAACACACACAGCAAAATACACAGTCCGAGGCAACAGTGTCCGAGGGGGCAAGCAAAAGAGTAGTCAATCAACAGGCGGGACACCAATCCAGAAAAGCAATCAAACCGAAGCAAAGGTACAGAGAAGGGCGAGGCGAAAATCAGAAAATCAAAAACCAAAACTGTCAAACACGATAAATCAAACCAAGAAATCAAGCCACAATAATCCAAAACAATGAGCAGAGCTCCAGGGGTGACGAACAGCGGCCCTTTCTCTTCGGGAAACCGGAAGCCAGGACCAGTGCAGAGGTCGGAAGAGGCGTAGCCGGAATCCGGAAGGCGGGGCTGAAGAGGCGTGGCCGAAGTCCGGAAGGCGGGGCTGAAGAGGCGTGGCCGAAATCCGGAAGGCGGGGCTGAAGAGGCAACTGGTAAGGGGAGATTGGAGGCAGAAACCGGATGACTTGCAGGTACAATCACGGACCGCTTTCGGCACTTAACAACACCTTGTTACTTTTCCTGTAGTTCATACTAATGTCTTCATCAAATTTATGAAACTGCTTGTACAATAACTTGTAATAACTGCTTGTATATAATACTCACCATTACTTTCCTGTATACATTACTGGTATACAAGCCGCCTCCCAGTTATAGACAGCCTGCTGTCTTTCAGTATGGAAAGTGCATGACTGGTGTACACTATGACTCTCTCCCGGTGGTCCTGAATCTTTGCCAGAATGGAGCCAGTGGCATTCTGGGAGGTGTCTGTGTACAGCAAGAAGGACTCTGTGAGCACTGGATGAACGCTCTTCAGAGTGTGGAAGGCCTCCTCACTTTCAGGAGTCCACTGCAACACATTTCTGTATTAGGAAGTTCAAAGGTGCAGCAACAGTGGCCAAGTTTGGAACGAACCTTCTATACTAAGAATGCAGTCCCACAAATGTTTGCACTTAGGGGGTCGTGATAGAGGCCAAGTCTTAACTTTGTTGTTATTCTTTAGATCAGGCTGAAGACGTTCTTTTGGCAACATATTGCTTAATGAGTTGTGATTTTTTTCTAAACATTTGTATGTCTGGATTTTGTATGCAATTTTGTATGCTTACTCAGATTTAAATATGTTCTTATTTTGTATTTATTTGCAGAATCCAGAGGACAAGTGACTGTGATTCAGACTCCAGAGCTGATATCAGCTTCCTCAGGACAGACAGTCAGTATAAACTGTAAAACCAGCAGCCCAGTGCATGATCCTGGCATATCCAGCCTCTGCTCTTTGTGGGGGGGTTTGCATGATCCCTCCACGTTGTGTAAATTTCTTCTGTCGCATCCACTGTTATTACCAATGCAGTGAAACTGAATGAGAATGAATAATTATAATTCTGAACAAAACAATGAATTGTTCTAGTTGTATCATCAGTGGAATCCAGGCTGAAGATCATTATTGTGAGGAGTAACTTGATCACAGAGTTCTATTGAGCTATAATGGAAATATCAAATTTCACCATTAATCCATCCCTCTATCTATTTTCTGTAACCACTTGTCCTATTCAGGAGGCTAAGAGCCTGTCCCAGAGGTTATGGGCAGAAGGCAGGGAATATCCCATCACAGGGCACAACCACACACCATTCACACCGATGGGCAATTCGGTACCTCCAGGTCACCTTAACACGTTTTGGGACGTTTTAGAAAACCCCACAACCCGGGCCCCCTCAGTGACATGGAGCCCCCCCACCCCGAATTATGCGAAACATTCATGAGCATTAAGGCACTGACGTTATGCTGATTACATATGTAACATTAACTTGAGGGGAGACAAATAATGTAGTATTATGCTATTACATATGCATTCATTAACCACAAACTAAGTCTAAGTTACTAACTGATCTCATGTTCGTTCATCATTAATGAATCATGATGCATCATTTATCCCAAGCAGTTACTATATTTGTTACTGTATTGGTTAGTTCTGTAAATCTGAGATATGTAATTACACACAGCATTGTTGGTGTTTAACGACTTCTTAGGCACAGCCATCAGTAGTGTGTCTGTCTGCGGGGGGAATGTCGACCTTGTCGAGAGATTTATTTACCTAATGTTTGATATTGCCATGACCATATACATACCCTTACCAGCTTACAATCAAATGTGCTAATAAAACTAATATTATATAAAATGTACATTAGGCTACCCTGCACAGTATTAGGTTTTATAGGGTACCTACATGCAACGTCCATTTTCCTTTAATNTTCGAGAAAGCAACTTAGGCTGTGTTGAGATCATGTGAAAAATAAGTTGTGATACAAAGTTGCAGTGAAAAGATACAGACACAGCAGTGTGTGTTGCCCTCAACCCTTTTACCTGAGCCAGCCATGATCCTCATCTGCTACATCCTGCCCCCAGTCTAGTAAACCCAAGTCCCCAAATCCCTTTGGTCTTCCCCTATCTTCTAGGTCTGTTCCAACTCCTCTTGTTCCACTTGTCTGTCCCAGTCCCTCTCTGTAATGTTTCGGTCCAGTCTTTCCTATTCCCCAGATGTTGCTAGGTCCTGGTGGTTGTCCTATCTAGTTCAGTTGTGTCCCCAGTTCTTGGTCCTATGTACCCTGTCCCAGTCATGGTCCTGGTAGTACCTCTTGAGCCCAGAGTTTGGTCATAGAGAGGGGGGTACTGTCAGGATCGGTCCCTGTCTTGTCTTGTCCCATCGTTGTTCCCTTGTTAGACCAGCAGGTGTCACTGGTCATGCTGTCTTTTCTGTGTTTAGTATCTGCCACAGTCCCTAGTGTTTTCCCCAGTTCCCTGGGCTGCTGCATGGCTGGATGGGCTGAGTATGTGTCTAAGAACCATGTTCTCTGGTGGCTATGAGATCGACCCACTGCCTTCTGGGAGACATTTCAGGTCTATCACATCACGGACAGACTCAAAATCAACTTTTATGCCAGAGTCATGCGAGAACTGAACACTGCCAACTAGTACTGTGCGGTATAAACGGTATAAACGGTATACGATATAAATTTGGCCAACGGAAGAGATTTTGATTATACCGCCCTACCGCAGAAATTTCCGCTCCTCGCCCGCAAAAATGACGTAATGAAGTTGCGTAAAAAAATAATTTATTATTTGTATGATTTATATGAAAAATGTTTATATGATTATCGCTGCACCAGGCAGCAGAGTCCTGCACGGGTCTGATTTGACAAACTGCACCAGTCATACTTAAGCCCGTATCCGAACCGTTATCTCACTTATCTGACAGAAATAAAATAAAATTCCGCACCCGATCCGCTATAAGTAAATACCGACACCCGACCCGCACCCGAATAAAAATCAGTCAGATAGCCAAAATTAAAGACAAACGTTTATTGCCACAACAAACGACCAGTGACATGTGCAACATTAGTTGAAAAGGCATAGCCAAATGAAAACGTTGCTTAATAACAGCCTAATAATAAGCAAAACAAATGGTAGTAGCCTACCTCCGAACTCAAATAATGTTTGATATTGCCATGACCATACATACCCTTACCAGCTTACAATCAAATGTAACAATAAAACTAATATTATATAAAATGTACATTAGGCTACCCTGCACAGTATTAGGTTTTATAGGGTACCTACATGCAACGTCCATTTTCCTTTAAT